TTCTATATTCATTTCTTGTGTTTTGTGGACCATCTGCTCCTGGCATTGCTGGTCAGTGTCACTTAACATCCTCTCACTTCTGACACGTTTCAGGTGTGGCTCTGGTGTCAGTGCAGTTTTTTCTTTTTATCCCCTTTTTTCTTTTTATGTCGCAACATATTATGCCAGCCACTACATGGATTCAGAGTCTCAGGAAATAGCCCCATGTTGGCACATGCCATCAATTCTTTATTGTGTTTGGCCCAGTTATGTCAAAGACTGTCAGCAAGACAGTGAATGTATCTCAGAGCGTTTTCTTGTTTGGTCGTCCAATTAGCAGAGAGTGTTGTTGCCTACTGGCGTGGCACTGCTGCAAAGTGATCTTCTTTATATTGTGTTGAATAAGGGCAATGATGTGTGGCAGTGAACAATAAGTCTAGTTCTGCTTTAAATAATATATCTTTCTTCAAATACTTAAATATTTATTATCTACAATGCTCTTAAATGACCGTCCTGGACACTTTCAACATCGAACTTTCCTCCAGCAGCTCTTTGCACAGTACATAGTATTCAGTGATACGTTGTTACTATGTGGCACAGTGATGGTTAGCTCTCACAGAAAGAAGGTTCCTGGTTGTTCAGGCCTTTATGTGTTTTTACGGCCTTTATATGTAAATTCCTACTTCTGAATTGGCCCTGAATTCAAAGTCAGTGATAAGAGGTGCTCCATGTGTGCAGAATAAATGTGCTTGTAGTGTGAAGCCCTTTCAGTAAGACCAGACCACAGTGATGTAGAGTGTGAGTGACATAGCCTCAAAGTTATATCTGATTATTTCAAGAAAATCTGAAATAGTGATATTTCTGATAATAAAGAAAGGAGTAGTACAACGAAATGTTGTGTCTATGTGCACACCCAGGAACTAGAACCTGGACAGCCTTGCCACACACTCCCCATTGAAGCTGATGGGCTGCAGCTATGACTTCCTCCTTCTGACATCGACTACCAGCTCTTTCATCTTTGGTGATATTGAGGTCCAGGTTGTTGTCAGCACACCAATCTGACAGCCTCTGATCCTCAGCTCAGTCTCATTGCCCCCAAAGATGAGCCCCACCACGGTGGTATCATCTGTGAACTAATATAGAGAAAATGCCAGTAATCCCAGTAATCAGACAGCCTTTAAGCACTTGGCAACAGTAGGAAGGAAAAACTCCCTTTAAACAGGAAGCAACCTGGCAGAACCATGCTGAATGAGCCATCTGCCATGACTGTTTTTGGTTGATTATAGGGAGACAAATAAAAAGATGCACTATAACAGTAATAAATAATAACCAATAAATGCCATGTCGTCAACCCTCTGAGATCTGGGTCATTACAGGTGTTTACCCTCCAGAGTACTGTGAGTACAAGATAAAGAGCACCAATTATTATCTC